GGCATCCATCACTGGCTATTCCTCTGGGACACGGGTGCTTCAAAAGTAAAATTACAATCATACTCCAAATTTTGTAAGAATTCTATTCCTCTATGAATCTAGATTCCCTCAGGGTTAGAATGGGAGTCAGGTAACAATATTCATTGAGTGGAAAGCAATGTATTAGGCACCACAAAAAGCAATCATCATCCTTCACATTGCTGTGAGGGAGAGAGATTTATTACCAGTACAAAGAGAAAGCACACAGAAACATCAAAGAGACACACACACACTGCCCCTACTGAACAAAGCAAATCAGACCTTCCCCCAAATTAAGAGAATATTGAGGGCTTGACAAGGTAAGTCTTTAATCATTTGGTTGGCCAAAACAATTAATAAAAAGAAAAAAGTATGAATCCAAGGTCATCACTGTAAGACACTAAATCTAACCTTTCTGCCTCTTCCCCTTGTAGCCGTGTGTCTCTTCAATGGCACTTACTAGGCAGAAATCCAATCTGGTTATTAAAGATGCCGGATCCATACTATCCCAGACCAGCTTATCTGAGCATAGAACAAAGCTTTTAGTTAGCCTTTCTGGGGAAGAACGGAGAATCTGGGGACTGGAGTATAGCAGCAAACTGTGGAATGGTTAGTGGAAGCTTCTGACTTGGGCCTGTGGAAAGTGGAGTGAATTAAAGTTCCTGAAGCCCTTCCATGTGGTTCAGAGGAGTGTGTACATTTTCCCAAAAGAAAACATAGACATCCTCTGTACTATGGTCAGTGGAAACAAGCTATGGCAAACAAGCAGCAACTGAAATGATTTTCTCGTCTGTGGATAATTTTCATTCTCAGAATAAATGACACGAATGATGCTTTTTCTTTAGAAGGAGGAGATATTTGACAATGTCCTGAGACTCCAATTAAGACAGCAATATAATTTCTACTGGTGTGAAAGGATAGCAATGGAGTCACAGGGCATTTTAGGGCAGGGTTGCTGACAGCAGAGGTTGTGGAGACTGCCTGAAATGCCCAAAGAGTTAAAGATTTGGGCCAAGTCTGCAAAGTGAGAGCCAGGAGCAAGACTAAACAAGAGAGGAGGTAGAGAGTTCTCAGCATGGAGAACTGGGAACTGGGAAATGAAGCCAGCTAGCTGCTTTTGGAAGACAGAGGACTCTGGTTCTGACATGCTTCTCATTGGGCACGGGAGGAACAGCACACAGGAGGTACGCTGCCTCCAGCCGCAAAGGAGAGGCCTGGGAGCGGGCTGGACCTGGTCCCTGGCTGTGCTCAGCATGGAAGCAACTGGAGAGAGGGCCAGGCCCTGAGACTGCCCACAGGCTGTGCAGAAGAACCTTTTCTTTCTGGAACAAGGCACCTCCACCCCTGGGAGGGCAGCAGAGTGAAGTACCAACACTGGGGGTAGAAAGAGGGAAAAGAAGGAACAGATGGATAGACCAAAGTGAGGAAGAGAGAGAAGAGAAATGAGACAAAAAGGTGGTTTCCATAAACTTTTAAAAATTTGTGCAGATATCAAAATCTCTTCTACTTGCCAGTGTAGGTGCAGGCAGTTGTAGGGCCCCCTGATAATAACAAGAGTGACCAGAGGCCCCAAAGGGCTAGTTTGCTTTGCTTACTTACTAGTCCCAGGATGCCACTGCTACTGTTATACCCATTTTCCTATGACACAGAGTCTGTGTCTTGCCCAGGGTCACCCAGGGGAATGGGTTGCTGAGTGCAGAATCATCCAGAGCCTGCCTACTTAACCCCAGCCTCAGTGTCTAACCAGGTCATAAAGACCCCCTTCATCTCTCTATAAGTCCTGCCCATTTAGTACAGCCAGGGCTTCCAGAGCTCCATTCAAACACACTTTCTGTAAGTAAGTGTTCACTCAGCCTTGCAGAAGGTAGGTAATCCCTGCTTCTTTTGTCTTTCTCTGTATAAATGCTGCTCCCAAGGGGTTTAAGTTTTTTCTATTTTTAGTTAATAAAAAGGAAAGAGGGATTATTGAAAATTATCTTTGGAGTCCTTCAATTCTGTCTTTCCAACTGTCTTCTGGAAGAAGTATTTGTGTTGTTTAAAGGATAGTGAAAAACTCACTCTGACCTCACATTGCAGAGACTTTAGCACAGGGCATCTGATCTGGCTTTGGGTGGGTGAGGGGTTACCAGACCAGTATGGATTGCTCTTCATAGGAATTCTCTATCACTTACCCCAAAGACAGCCTGTGGCAAAACTAAGCATCACAACCCACATCAAGGGCGCAGTTTGCCATCTGCAACTGGGGCGGGAAAGCAAAGAGCTCATCAGCAGCTGCCCCAGATCAGACATTTCCTTACTAAAAAAGACATGGCCATGATAACCCGATACTTCAAAGCCACTTTATTTTTGCCTTTAGGAATCATTTCCTTTCTCATTTCTTCTATCACAGAGGCTCAGAACAAATTCTCATTGTTATTTAGAGAGAAACTCCCAATTCTTCTAGGGCCCTGAAAAATCCTGTAACTGTGGGATGTTACTGTTTTCTCTGCTGGAAAAAAACTTGAAAATGACAGAATTGGGCTACAGTGAGACTAAGGTCTGAGAATCCCAGAACCTCAATTCCCCAAATCCTACTGGCCCTGGGCAGCCCAGCACCCCCTCCCGCCAGCAGATGGGCCCAAAGCCCTACTCTTTCCAACACATCTGAGGTTGTTGTAGGGCTCTGCCTGAGAGGCCCCCACCTACTGTCAGCACCAGGGAGTCTCTGGGGCCTCCTGGGGCTGAGGGCTCAGCAGGGCTGTTAACTACAGAGCTCCCAGTGTGGTCCAGGAAGGTCAGTTTCTGCAGGTGTGTTCTAGGCCCCAGTAGGGATGGACGCAGCTGCAGGACAGTGGCTTTATTTCTGAAAACAAAAAGACAACGTTTAATCTCTACTGGAGCAGAGGTGAACCAGGTGGATCATTTTAATGATAAAAATGCTGGGATAGGATGGACTTTCAACATTTTGAAATATCACTAGAGCAACCCAAAATATAATAGAGATACAGCAAGGGAAGAAAGAGGACAAACACTTGTCTGGCATGACTTCCCCGCGTCCCCCTCCAGCCTTAGCACAACTGCCCCCATCTGGACGCTGCAATTGCTCTTTCCCACTAATGCATTCCCCGATTCCCCAGCCCCCCCTACCAGCCACTCTATCCCCATCCAGGAGCCGAGGGAAATCTGCTGTACTGAAATGGAGTTAAGTTTCAATTTTAGAATTGTTTGTAATCTTTTCTTAGGATATACCAGAATGGAGAAGAAGATAAAAACTCCAAAGAGAGACTGAGCTAAAATGAAGAATTTTACTGCTGTTATAAGATTCACACAACTGGAGGACCCTCCCCCTCGGGTCCCACTAAGCATGGCACAGAGGCTTTTCTGACTGGCCTTCCTTTCTTGACTGCCTTCCTCTTAGCAGATGTCTTATTCCATTAATCTGACGTCTTGTTAATCTTCAGAGCAGTCCTGGGTAGTATGGTGAGTATATAGACCCAATTATAGGAGAGAGGATCAGAGAAAGACCTTGCCCATGACTACCCAGCTAAACAGAGTTGCAGCACTGGGATTTGAACCCAGGTCTGTTAGATTCCAAAGCCTGTGCTTATTATTACACTGGGTGACTTCTCCTCCAACCAATTATAGCCAACTTTTTTCTCATCTCTGTGTTGCCCAGAGCTAGTTGTCTTCATGTCCTGTGTGAGTCTTACAGAGACCCCTAGCAGTACCTTACCCCAGAACAGTTAATCTCTGGTTTGGGGAAGCCAACGAGCAGCTCTGATGAGATAGGCTGATGCCACAGAACTCTAGCTTGGGCAACAGAGTGAGACTCTGTCTCACAAACAAACAAACTAACTAAAAAATAACAAGCATTGATGAGGATGTGGAGAAGTCAGAACACTCATGCGTTGCTGTAGAGAAATGGCTAAGTAAATACTAGCCTATCCATTTGATGGAATTTGTTCAACCACTGAAATTCAAGTTTATGATGAGTTTAACACAATAGAGAAACAATGAGTGAAAAATCAATCTCAACTGTGGGCCGAGGAGAGAGATGCCTGTGATGGCTTTATGTGCTGTCAACACAAAGTTGGAAAAATTTGCGCTAATGTGAGCTGGGAGGTGTGAGTAGGTGGGGGAGGAGGAAGCGAGTGATGCCCAGTTAGACAGTACCCGGAATCTGGAGGTGGTGGTGGAGGCTCAATCCATATATCCCTGCGGCCATCCCCTAGTGGGCTGGGCTCAAAATTCCCAGATGGCACCAAGGTGTGCCTTGTGTGAGGATTTAGCCCTTGCATGATCTACATCAGCAGCCCCCATTCGCTACCCCAAATACTCATACAATTTTATAAATCTTGGAAAGCCAGGTTCAAGAAAAGCTAATGTGCACCTCACTTCCAAAATGGATTGAGAACCTTTATAAAGAAATGCCAGCCTTGGCACTCTGAGGCAACTGGACCCTTCTTCAGGCTGTGTCCCCTTCCCAGAAAGTCAGGGAAAGGAGACACAAATGGACAGCTCTCACCTCCAAACCGCAGTACAAGTATAGCCAGAAGTGAGAAAGAGCCCAGCGGGGAGGAGGAAACCTGGATTCTGATCCCAGTTCCTCCCCTGAGCAAATTATTTCCTCTCTCTGGGCCTCAGTTTCCTCTTCTGTAAAATGGGTATACATTGGGACCGTCCTGGTGCCTTGGCAGGGAATCACTTGAGCTAAGACTAGTGGAAGGGCCAAGCACAGTGCCAAACACATAGAGGGTGCCTATGACGGCCGTGTCGCGTCCCACAGTTTGGGCCGCGATGCCCTCCAAGTTTACAGGAGGCATGTGGCCACGGGACGGCTTGAGTTGGCGCTGGCCAGGCCAGGGTACTGAGCAAGTGCGCAGGCCTCAGCCAGCAGGGCCTCTGCCAGCCAGGGGCGGGGCTCGAACCCACGGACAGAAAGGAGACCAGCCCTCCCGGGGTGGGGGCGGTGTCCCGGGGGTCACGTGGTGCGGTCACGCGGTCGTTCCCGGAAGCGCGCCGAGCTCCAGCCCGGCCTGGCAGTGCGCGGGCTGCGATCTGGTACGTGGGATTCCCAAGCTGTGTTCTAGAGTTCTTGGGTGCCCCCTCCGTGGGCAGGGGGCGTCCTTCCGGAGCCCCGCGCAGCCCTCCCGGAAGTGGGCGGGGCCGTGGGGGTGGCCGGGAGCGGGCTTCTGCCAGCCGCGGGCGCCTGGCGGTGGGCGGGTCGCTTCCCCTCTCCGAGCCAAAGTTCTTGCAGCCGTGAAGTGGGGCGATGTCACGGATCAAACCCCTTTCCTAGGGTTGCGGTGAGGTTCGAGGGCAGGGGAGAGGTGGACATTTTGGTGTGAAACTGGACAGAAGCAGGGCAAACATGAAGGCTACTGTTGAGTGCGCACCCCTCGGTGGCGATGCTCTTCCCTCTCTTCGAGAACCGCCCTGCCTTCTGATCTGCGGGACAGGGGCTGGGAAAGCAGGACAGAAGGCCACAGAGGAAGTTCGCTGGGGACCCGGGGAGGGCCCAGGCTCCAGATGGTGACAGTAGGCTATGGGGTTTTTGTTCCCTCAGGTTGGCCCAGTGTGGTCTGGGGCTCCTTTTACCAGTAAATCCCCTTTGAGTTCCCTCTCTAGAGCAGGCCGGTGAGAACTCAGAAATCACAAAAGGACACCGGCCAGGTTATCTCTTCAACAGCCTTTGGGGGCAAAAAAGGGAACCTAATGTCTACTGAAAAGCATCCCCATGTTTCGGGAAATGTGGTGTAGGGTCAGTCGTGCAGGTGATAGGGTTGGTCTCAGGTTGCAGAAGATGCTGAACCCCTAACAGCCGGTGCTTGAGTTCCTAATTAAGTTTAGTGTGGTTCCTGCCTTTATCAAAATCTGAATGATTCTGGGACCAGTTTTCATGTATCCTGTTATTTGAAGGAGGTTAAGCTGGAAAATAATAGTCCACCCACATCTACATAGGACAACAGAGTTTGCTGAGGTTGTTCAGCACCTTGCCAGGTCACTCCTGTGACTTACTCTAATCCTGGAGTGGGAGTAGAGGGGATTGTGTCATCTTACTGCAGAAGTTTTAGGTTCAGGGAGGTTTAAGCAACTTGGCAAAGCCAAAACTAGGATCCGGTCCTGCTGCCTTTTCTGATAATGTTGTGGCACAGCTGTTGGTTCTGTCATTAGTGCATCAGTCCACGATACCTGCTGCTAAGCTTTTCTGGGACTGCTTCTTTGCTGGCATATGATGTGCCATGCTGCCTTCCATCAGTCACTTAGAGCAGGCTCCTGGGACTGCTCTGGAGCTCAGAGTGACCCACAGAGAAGTGAGTGCTCATAAGGAACAGAAGCAGGAATGAATGTGGGCACTTGCTCTGTGCTGTGTGGATGGCGGTGCTGGCTGGGTTCCTCATGCTCTCCGTCATGGGTGGGAGCTGAGCACACTGCATGGGTCCTGAACTCCATGCAGCCCTTATCCTCTCCCAGAAAGCAGAGCTAGCATGTCTCTGACCACTCTTACATCACACTTTCTGTTAAGCATTTGCAGAACTGAGGATGCTGTGGTGCTCTTTCCATGAGCTGGTCACCAAGTCTGTCTATTGCAGGCCTTCCTGATCCTCTGGCTGTATGGAGACTCCACTGTGCTGCTTACCAAGGTAGATGATCTTGCCCCACCTCGGACAGACAGGGAGTTCAGGCAGCACCCACCACCCTGGGGCTATGGGAGGCAGCAGAATGAGGCGAGCAGTAGATTGAGCACCTGGGCTCTCTCATTCCTGCCCCCTATCCCAGTTCTGTGTCCTGATATCTTTCATGCTGGTGCAGAGTGTTCTTCCGTCCTTGCATCTAGGTTGTCACTCAGGCCTGCTAGGTCACTTAGCTACAGCTCTTGAATTGGCCCCTTCCTCTACACTCTTCCAGTCCCATCAAGAAGTGATCACTTATTACCTCACAACAAGATGACCGGCCTCCATGACCTTGACCTCACCTGCCTACAGCCAGCCTGTCCACAGCCTGCCTTTCCCCAACCCACATATTTCCATCAAGCTGAGCCCATAAGCCCCCCTCTGCCTTGTCTCTCTGTGGGAAGTCCTGGAGCAGCCTCTTCAGGTCCACCTGCTCTGTTCCAACAACCTCTTCTCCATACCTGTGACTTTTCTTTTTCTGCCTTAGTGTTCACCAATATCCCTGTGCTGTTAGATATCCCCCCATTCGCCTATGAATACCTTGAGGCAGGTGCTCAGAGTTAGCTTTTGGGAGGAATTCACTAAGCACCACTAAGCTGGACACAGGGATCCCAAAGATGACAGAGCACAAGCCCCGGAGGTGCTGTGATCCTTCCAAGGAGGCTATACGGCCACTCATGTGAGAGTTAGGGCAGAGCTTCCTAATCACTGTTGTGCCGAGCATGTGTACCACATGATCACATCTGCGTCACACTCTGAGGCACACAAGAGAGCCCCTGCCTGAGGCCTCTCAGCTGCAAGCTGCTACCTGGAGCTCTGGCCTCACCTTGCTGTACCCAAGGGGCCAAGGCACAGTGCAGGAAGCTTTGTATTGAGAATCTGCCGTGGGTAATAGTAAACTGCATTTCTCATACAGCCAAGCACAGAGGGTGTGGGGGGAGGGGTGAAGTCAGGAAGGGCTAACAATACAGGTGGCCGTGGCCAAAGAAGCAACTGCTAAACAGGGGCAAGAAGGGACAGTGGACAGGGTCCTTAGGCAGCTCCATTTCTACCAAGAGCAGGGGGAGCTTTTGAATGGAATTTCTGTAATGCTGAGATAAACTCCATGTGGACTTTGAGACCCATCTCCTTGAGCTATTTTGTTCTTGAGGGAAGGATCTGGGCTGCCCAGAGCCTGGTCTCCAGCCTCCATTCCAGACCAGGCTCCCAGGCAGCTGGTTCCACGTCCAGAGCAAAAACGAGGTCCATTCCTTATGCAGTGTGGTTCCAGTAGGCCCCATGGTGGGTCTGATGCTGTGGTGAGAGGAGCTGAATAACAGGAAAGAACCTCAGCCTTGGCATCAGACAGTTCTGGATTCAGATCCCACCTCCCTCCAGCTGTGCCTGTGTCCTGATCTGTGGCGTCCTACTTTCTCGGTTATAAGGGTATAACGCGGTGACAGCAGGAAAGCCCTGGAAGTGGAGCCTGGTGTGCACAAAGGGTCAGTGAACGCTTGCTGTGGTTGGGATCCTCCTCATTACTCAGGCTCAGCTCATAGACATAGTGGCTGGGGTGACCTTGACTTGCTTCTCCCTGGCAGATGAAGTGTGTGTTGGTGGCCACTGAGGGTGCAGAGGTCCTCTTCTATTGGACAGACAAGGAGTTCGAAGAGAGTCTCCAGCTGAAGTTTGGGCAGTCAGAAAATGAGGAGGAAGAGGTGAGTATAGAGTGGGTGGTCTCAGAAGGGTGGGTGGCAGGGAACAGCACAGCAGAGCCTGTGTTCACTCCTCCTGGGCCAGCATGAGGGAGTAGCAGGGAGGTGTGCGTGGTCCACTGTCGTTCATACCTGGTCACCTGTCCTTGGAGGTCAGCCTCCTGATGCTCTAAGTGCAGTCTCCCCACCCCACCAGTGCTGACTGGACTAAATGAGGACAAGAGGAATTGAATTCTAATCACACCAGCAAAGAAACGTAGCGTCGTTAATTTCTCCACTTAAAAAGTTAAATATAGGCTTTGCATCCATTTTTTAAGCCACTCTATTAAGGTGTAACTGACATACCATGAACGGTGCTTATTTAAAGTGTACAGTGTGCTCTGACGTGTATAAACGCCTCTGATTCCATCACAATCAACAGAACAGGCATATCTACCACCCCAAAGGCATAAGCCCTTCTTCACCACCCCCACCCCATAGCAACCACAGATGTGCTTTCCAGCTGATAGATTAGCTTGTATGTTGTAGACTTTTCTATAAATGGAATTATACAGTATGTACTTGGGTTTAGTTTGGTTTTGGTTCGGCTGCTTTCAGCGTAGTTGTTGTTGATTCATCCATGTTGTCGCAGGCATCAGTAGTTCATTGATGGCAGTAATCTGTTGTATCAATATGCCATGATTTGTTTATTCGTTTACTGGTTGAGGGACATCTGAGTTGTTTGCGGTTTGGGCTATTACAGATAAAGCAGATTTTTGTACAAGTCTGTATATGGACACATGTTTTCATTTCTCATGGACAAATACTTAAGAGTAGACGGTCTGGATTGTGTAGGTGTGTGTTTAACTTTTAAAGGAACTCCACACATTTCCGTAGTGGTTTTGTAATTTTCCATCCCACCAGTACTAGTGTTTGAGAGTTGCAGTTCGTCCATATCCTCACTAACAGAGTCTTTTTAATTTTAGACATTCTAATGGATGTCTACTAGACTCTCATTGCATTTTAATTTTTATTTTATTAATGACTAATGATTTTGAGTAGCTTTTCATGTACTTATTTGTCACATTTTTTTCCTGTTTTTTGTTTGAGTTGATTGTTTCTTCTTACTATTCTCATTGAGTTTTGAGAGCTTTGAATATATTTTGGATTCACATCTTCCATCAGATAGATGTTTTTCAAATATTTTCTTCCAGTTTGTGGTTTTTCTTTGTATTCTCATAGTAGTATCTTTCAAAGAGCAGAAGTTTTTAATTTTTGACAACTCCAATTTATCCATTTTGCTTTTATGGATTAAGGTTTTAGTGTCATAGCTAAGTAACCTTGGCCAACCCAAAATCACAAAGAGTTTTTCCTATATATTCTTCTGGAAATTTATAGTTCTAAGTTTTACATGAGGTCTAATGATCTCCCTTGAATTTTTGTATATGATATAAGGTATGGATCAAAGTTTTTTTTGCATCTGGACATCCAATTTAACATTTTATTTGTTATTTCAGTTAAATATGAAGGTACAAATGATTAGGTTACATTGTTTAGCACTTAGGATAATTCAGAAATACTTGTCATTTTCACTTATGTAATTTCCATTCTACATTCTAAAAGAGTAATTTATTTTGGCAATTTTTCCAGATTAATTTTGGGCTAAAAAATTTTATTGGGGGATGTAATAGACTTCTTGATTTCTGCACTTACACCTCTTGTCCTTCTTGCTCTAATGGGCTGGGTCGTCTGGCCAGTGAATGAGCCAGTTCCACTTCAGCAGGGTAGTCACCATCAACATCCCCAAAATTATTGTCACGATCTTTAGGAGAAGACAGAGATATACCAGAGATTATAATAGACATGAACCTTATAGTGGTTTTATTTAAGCTAAAAAAATACCAGTGTGTGTTAGGCTCTTATTTTTTACCAACTAATACATACAGTTTTTAAATTAAGAATTTTTAGGTATTTCAATTTTAGGTGTTTTCTATTGTTTCAGTTAGATCAATTTAAAAGCAAACCATCTGTCAGTCTTTCTCTTCCTCTTCATTAAAAACCTAGTAAAGAAACAAATTCCTGATTTTTCAGTTCCAAAATGTCTAGTGTAAAGGGAAAAGTCTTTGGTGATGTACGTGCAGAGCCCTCAGGAGAGGGCCTGGCAGCCTTAGCAAAGGTAGACTGGTCATAGACATTTCCATCACCTACTCGATGCATGCTAGGGACACCCACAGATGCCCCTCTGTCATCCTTAAGCTAGCCGAGCTCCAGGGTGGCCAGGCGTAGCTGTGCAGGTTGTGCAAGGGTAGGGAGTGTGGGGCTGCCAGGGCTGTAGGCAGGGGCTGGGCTCAGGGGCTATACAGGGACAGGGATGGGGCCATGTGGGGGGTGGGACTGTGGGCTGTGTGGGGCCAGAGGCAAAAAAAGGAATCTCCCCCATAAGAAAAAGATTCTTTAAAGTTTTATTGTTTTATGTGCAACACCTTTTGGGGATCATATTAATAACGTAATTATAGGAAATTTGGAAATACAGAGAAATAGTTTTTAAATGACCTGTAATTCTACTTCCCAGATCTATTAATATTAGATTTTTGATATGCTTTCTTTGGATCTTTATCTTTTCTGTGTAGTTGAAATCACACCATATTTACAGTTTTAGTTCCTATTTTTTTTTCATTTGCCATTATATCAAGATCTTTCTTCCATTTTGTTGAATATTCTCAAAAGCATAATTGTTAACAGAAGCATCATATTCTAGTGTGTGAATAAATGCATCAATTATTTAACCATTTTCCCAATACTGGACATATATACTGCTCTAGTTTGCTATCCGTATTACTATGAGGAACATTTGTGCTTGAATGTTATCCCTTATCTGATTATTTCCTTAGGATAAGTTCCTAAAAATAGAAATATTGAGGCAAAAACCATTCTAAGATATCGTATCACTTTATAATTCCACCCCATAATATATGAGAATGCCCCTTCACACCCTACATACACCAAAAGTCTTCATCTCTCCTCACCAAAAAAAAAGAATATGTATATATATATTCTGTATCTTTACAGAATGGCACATGATCATACTGCCCCTAAGATGAGTAGCTACACAGAATCTGGATTTTTAAGTGACTTTTCTACTGATATAATTTTTTTTATAAAAGTTCAAGAAAGTAATGTGAATAATTTAACATTTACTCTTGCCTATATGGGGGATATTCCTTCAACAGATTTTAACTGATAACCCACCTGCACCAACCTATGGGGGTAAAGCAGTGAACTTAGCAACACCATTCCTGCTTTCACGGAACTTAGAGTCTAAGAAGGGACAGTGTACAGTGAACCAGATGGCAAGTAAATAGCATGAGTTCAGTAGTGGTAAATGGTCTGAAGAAGTCACCCAAGGCGTGAGATGGGGGTGGTTGAGTGGGGTGGTCCGAGGATGTCAGCAAAGGAGCCATCTGAGCTGGGACCAGAGGGTAAGAAGGACCCACCATGAAAGGCTGACTTGGAGACCACAGGAGCATGGCACAGTCCTCAGTTCCTGCATGTTGGCAGGAAAATAATGCCATGTCCTACTCATCTTTTAAATGCCACACATTACCATTGGCCAGGTGCCTATTTTTCTTGTCAGGGCAAGATCTTATTCAGCTGCTTGGAGATATCCCCAGCTCCAAGTTAAGACTCTGCAGCCGCCATATTTCATCCTTGCCTCCTGAAATCCACTCGGGGAAGGTCTGCTGTTTGCTTCCCTTTTTTAGTCCACTCTGACAAAATTCGAGTTGTTACCATTCCACTGGCTTTCTTCCATTTTATTCACAGATTTTCAACAAATTTGTCCAGTTCCCTTTGGTTTTTGTTTATGTGTTTTGTTCCTTCTTTTGGAGGGTGGAGAGAATGGATGGGGGAAACCTTATCAATGTAAATGCATACGTGTTATGGAAAATAGAAACAGAGCAGAAGCAAAAAGTACAGGAGAAAAATTACTCATAATCCTTCTATCCAGAAGTGATAACTATAGCAGTGTTCCCTTGCTTAGTATTTCTCAATCTGTTGGTTTCTTTTCCCATGCATTTTTAAATACAGAGCATTCATATAATTTTTTTTTATTACAACATTGTATCTGAGGAATTTTCCATGTCGCTGAAAATGTCCAACACTCTGAGTGGCTGTTGACTCTTCCATCATTTAGATGTACTGTAATTTATTTAGCTGTTTCTCTGGTAGTGGACCTTTATGTTTTTTTCCAGTTGTTTATAATAAATTGTGCAGTAGTGAACATCTTTGTACATGTGTCTTTGTCCTCCTCTCTGGTAATTTTCCTTAAGATAAATTCTCCAAAGCAGACTTGCAGCAAACAGTGGGGACTTTGGCATCTGGAGTGAACTTCCTTCTTTGGCCAGTTCTTGAGTCAGTACTCCGCACGTTCCCCTTTTGGAATGTAGCCTCCTTTGTAATGTTTCCCTCTAGATTCTGAGCCTGCACAGCACAGTTAGCTGGTAACCCTCCCCAGCCTTCCTAACCACAACCCAGGGTGTCTTTTTACCACTTTCCCAGGTATGTCTGGCCCTGTGGAACCCTCTATATCCAGGCCTGGGTCTTTTGTCTGTTCCTCTGTCCCTGGCGTCTGGCCCGCTCTAAGCAGTGTCCTTTTCTCCCCTGTTGTAGCTCCCCGCCCTGGAGGACCAGCTCAGCACCCTCCTTGCCCCGGTTGTCATCTCTTCCATGACAATGCTGGAGAAGCTCTCAGACACATACACCTGCTTCTCAACAGAAAATGACAACCACCTATATGTCCTTCATCTGGTGAGTATGCCCCTCTCCCTTCCACTCTCCCTTATCTTAGCCTCCTTTAGAAGGCAGAAGCTACATCTTATCCAGCTTCCTTGAGACCTGAGCTTACCTTACCTATCCACCAACGTCAGGGAAGGTAAAGGGAGGCCCCAGGGGCTGGCTGACATTGGCCTGGCTGTGCCTACAGTTTGGAGAGTGTCTGTTCATCGCCATCAATGGAGACCACACGGAGAGTGAGGGGGACCTTCGCCGGAAGCTGTGTGTGCTCAAGTACCTATTCGAGGTGCACTTTGGCCTGGTGACCGTGGACAGCCAGCTCATCCGAAAGGAGTAAGTCCTCGAAGCTGGTTCCCTCGTGTCCTCTCCTGAACATCCTCACTGGACCAGGCAGCAGGTGCCCTGCCTCTATAACGCTGCCTTTCCATGCTGTACCCTGGGTGGGGTCCCTTAGAGAAGCAGAGCTCAAAGTGCCCTTGAAGACATCTGATCCATCTCTCTCATTTTACATATGGAGAGACTAGGGGCATAGGATTTAAATAACTTGCCCAGGGATGTCCAGCTGCTCTGTGGCAGCGTCCAGCTAGGAGATCTGAGCTCAGGACTCTCAGCCCAGTGTTCTTACCATCCCCTCACATCAGTCTCTTGTCCTTACAAACCTGGTCTGAGCCAGTCCTCTCTGGCTTCTCAGAGGACCTTCAGACTTGCTCCAGAACAACACATGCCAACACACACTCATATGATCTTGGGAACGTTTTCTGAGGGGCAGCCCCCAAAACCTGTCTCTAGACTCACAGTAAAGAAATCAGGGAAAGAAAATGAAGGTTCATAGTATACGCTGAGCTAGGAAGCACCCCAGGAAAGAAACGTGGTTGAAATGCAGGCCCAGAAGCTAGGGTGGGGTCATCCCTGACTCTCCCACATACATTGCTTAAGAACTCTGGGTCTTCTGAATTTTGTAGTGATATGAGTAAGTGCCCATATGGAGGCACTTGTCAAATAAGCCAACATTGCATGAGTCATTTCAGCCCAGTGTGGTCACAGCTTCATTATGGCAGGTCATAGGTGCCGGTTACCCCTGCTGGCCAATGTAGGTCTCATCAGCATTTGAGATGGCTGTGGCCCCATGCATGGCTCTGGTGATAGACTAGAGTTTTCTGTCTCAGTGATCTGTAAGGATGTGAGAGGCATAGAAAACTCAGATACCATCCTGGCTCACTCTGGCTGGCTTTGTGTGATGTGTCTGTGTGGGAAGCAAGGTGCCCAGGTGCTGGCCTCTCGGCTTCATATTCACCCCAGCCTACCTCACAGCTAGGGTCCAGTTACAAACACAGCCTCATCTGTGCTGTGTGACTGTCCTAGTTATGTGGTCCTGTCACATGAGCTTACCCAACTCTGATGCTGAGCTGGGTCTGTGCTCTCTTGTTTGGGGTTAGGGAGACACTTTCTCATGGTCTCTCCCACTCTCTCTGGCTCTGCCCCCAGGCTGCGGCCCCCAGACCTGGAGCAGCGTGTCCGGGTGTGGGAACACTTCCAGAGCCTGCTGTGGACCTACAGCCGCCTACGTGAGCAGGAGCAGTGTTTCGCTGTGGAGGTGATTACTGGGTGTGGGAATCCTCAGGGCTCAGAGGTGTCAGATTGGGCAGGGGGCATCCAGCTTTAAGACCATATTTTGCCAATAAGAGTGAATGCACAAGCCAACCTCAAAACTCATGTATTCATAGAGTAATTTGTTCTGTCCACATGGTGAGTGGGGCTCTCTATGGGCCTCCCATAGCTAGATCCTGGATAACACAGACATTTAAATGTTTTGTGGTTCACTATAAATTGTAGAAATCTCTGAAGATAATCACTTCAACCCTGCTGTCTTTCCCCCTCAAAAATTATATTGAGCTGAAATTAGAATGGAAAGCGGTGGGGAAAAAAGCAGCACTAAAGACAAAATTGCCCTGAGTGCAAATGATACCAACACTAGAGCCACAAAATAGCCTCAGGCCAGCAGCAACATAGAGGAGCAGAACCTGCAGCTCTCGGTGAGGACCAGACCCAGGATGCTCACAGAGTCTTGATCAGTAGCACTCCCTGGCTCCCTGTGGAGGCAAATGCAAATTCTGTCTATATCAGTGCTTCTCATACTCCAGTATGCATCAGAATCATCTTTAGGGTTTGTTAAATACAAGTTACTGGGCCTCACTGTCAGAGTTTCTCAGTTAGTGAGTTTGGAATGGGGGCTCTAGAACTGGCATTTCTAGAAAGTTCCCAGGTGATATTGATTATGCTTGGTCCAAGAACCATCCTTTGAAAACCACTGCTTTGCAGGACATATTAAGATCAAACACATAGGAGCTCACAATTAAAGGTTAAATACACAAGAAAATAAACTACCATGAGTGAGAGTCAGGGGACTCAATCACCAAGGTTTAGATCCCAAGGGGCTTTATGTATTATTAGGTACAGAATAGAAAATAACTGAAATATATAGACTCACAAAAAGGAGCAAATTGCAAGAAACTCAAAAATGACCAGATAGATTTGTGAAAGAATTCATATACACATTTAAAAATGAAAACATAATTGTTAAAAACTCAAGGAGTGTATTAGATAGCAAATGAGACATAGCTAGAGAGAGAATTAGTAAACTAGAAAATAGATCTGAAGATAGTATTTCTCACACCTTCACTTATTCACTCATCCAGTAAACGTAAAGCACCTATCATATGCTAAGATGTGTGCCAGGCCCTATGAATACAGAGATGAATAAATAATAATCCCTGTTCCAGAGAAATCAGCCATACACAAAAAAATACAGTAAAGAGTCCTGAGTGCCATATTAGATTTCTCATCAAAAACCACAGTGGCATAAGAGATAGTTAATTCTTTCTGAGACATCAAGAAAGACTTCTTATAAGAGGTGACCTAATATAGTAAGATAAAATCCAAACTACTTCCCAAGCCTACCAGCCCCTGTAGGATCTGTTACTGTCTTTCTCACCCTAGCCTCATCTCATGCCTCTCTTGTCCTTACTAAGCACTGGTCGCATGGGACTCCTTTCCGTCTCAGGAATACTCTCTGTTTAGGTCTGTCTAGTATGGTAGTTATGAGCTACCTGTGGCTGTTAAACATTTGAAATATAGTTAGTCCAAATTGACTTATTCTATATATGTGAAATAAACACCAGGTTTTGGTAACTTAACACACAATTATATGTGAAAATTATACGAAGAGCTTGCCTTATATTTCAGTTGGACAACTTTGCTCCACATTTTCTTCCCGCCTCAGAGCTGTGACCTATGCTGTTTCCTGGCCTTACAATGTTCTTCCTCTCCTTTCTCTGGCAGGCTGTCCAGTTCTTTAGATATTTACTTAAAGGTCACTTCAGGGATTTTCTTTGGACATCCTATCCAAGTAGATCTCTTCTGTTTCTCTTCAGTACTGTACATTTTTTACTCAGCACTTAACTGTGATTGGCACTTACTTTGCCTTTCCTTGCATACTGTCTGCCTGTCCACCAGCATCTTATGACCAGACTTAGTCTTCCTGTTCCCAGGTATCTAGTCATGGTATGAGCTCAGTGGTTCTCATATTCCTGTGAACATACCCATGAGCCCAGGGCCTGCAGCAGGGGAGGGCAGCTGGTGACATGGCTTCCTCTTCCTGCCCACCCTGGTCAGGCTCTGGAACGGCTGATTCACCCCCAGCTCTGTGAGCTGTGCATCGAGGTGCTGGAGCGGCACGTTGTCCAGGCTATCAATGCCAGCCCCGAGCGGAGTGGCGAGGAGGCTCTGCATGCCTTCCTGCTTGTGCACTCCAAGCTGCTGGCCTTCTACTCCAGGTGAGTCCAAGGCTTCTGTCTATGGCACTCACAGGCCTCTGGCTCCCACCCTCCCCCCTTCCTTCTGAAAAGCACTGTCTCCCATGCCCGAAATTCCTGCCAGACCCCACTGCTCCAGGAAGCCTTGCCAGATTCAGTTCTTTGGGCTCTTTAGCTCACTCATCTCTCTGGATTATTTCTTCCTGGAATGCTATCTTAGAGTCTCCCTTTAGGAGAACTTCCTTTTATGATATTATTGGTCCCTGATGCTTACCTATTGATAAATAATTTTTTTTCCTTTTTTTTAATCAACCAAGTTTTATCTTAAAAATTGATGAGTTATTTTCTTTCAGTTTATAAAAATGGAAAGTGGAGATTGAAAATTAAATATTTCCTGTTACTTAAAAAAAATATATTGGTGAGTTAATTTTATCCATACCTTGCATTTCTCCAGAAAGGATTAAGTCTGGTGGCACATTTGCAAGTTCCTGGAGGGCGGGGCCAGGCTCCAGACTCCAGACTCCCTTAATCCACCTGCCCCTATCTGCTGCCCCCTGCCAAGTATGTTCTCACAGGCTGCCTCTCCTGTCTCTGCAGCCACAGCGCCAGCACTGTGCGCCCAGCAGACCTGCTCACCCTCATCCTCCTGGTTCAGGACCTCTACCCCAGCGAGAGCACAGCGGAGGACGAGGCTCAGGTCTCAGAAGGCTCTCCAGGCAGTGGGGGCCATTAGGGCTATCGCTCAGCAAACCTGTCTGGGGGGCGGTGGATGGGTTCCCCTGAGGATGCCATGTTTTTTAAATCACAATTCTTTCTGGGCATTAGGTCAGGCATGACTTTTTTCCTGCAGTTTTCAAATGTAAGGGGCATTCTGGAATGCACAAGGGCTAACAAGTTTTTTGGAGTCAGTCCTAGTTGGAAACGCAGCTTCACCGCTTAGCCTTGTGAGCTGGACACATACCTGCCCCTGTGAGCCTCATGGGGTAACAGGGGTCCTTGCTACCCGGGATTGTTGGCAGGGTGGAGTCCCACAGTGTTGGCCACCACCGTTGTTGTCGTCCATCAGTGGTAGTGGTGGTTTGGATATCCATGTGTTGGAATTTATGGAATTTTTAGTTTTTCGGAGAAAAAACAGACCATCTAGAATTGAAGAATCCCGAGGATGTCTAAGGACTATACACCCAGGCTGTGCACGGAGCAGGGTGCAGGGCTGTGAGACAGAGGATGCCGGGTGGGGGAGTGGGAGCAAACAGGTCTAACCAGCCCTTTCCCCATTGCAGCCTTCCCCTCGCAGGCCTCAGGGTAGCCACAACATCCCCATGCAGCAACCCTGGAGCCCTCAGCCCCCAGGCTCGTCCCAGGGCAGTTCTGCGGAGACGGTATGTGCTGTGTGCTGCCTGGAGGAGAGGGAGGATCTGCTTCTCCCTGTGGCCCAGCCCAGAAGGCCTCAGCCTGAGCACCTCTTCTCCTCCTAGGAGACAGACAGCTTCTCCCTGCCCGAGGAGTACTTCACACCAGCCCCTTCCCCTGGCCAGCAGAGCTCAGGTGAGGCCTGAGAATTGGGGAGGAGGCTGGAGGCAGAGGGGGGCTGGGGAATTGCCTCTGGATTCAGTGGATCGAAGGGATCAGTGGGTCCAACACTTCTAGAACACAGGAGAGTGTGTGCAGCTCGATGCCCTATCGTCCCTGCCCACTCAAGCTTAAACTCAAGGACTATTTCAAGGACTGTTAAAACCACTCACATGATCCCTAAAGCTTTTTATGACAAATTGATTTCATTTAAAAATTCTTCTGTATGTGTATTCTCGGCCTCATCTTTCTTTTTTATAATTAAGTAATCATTTGATTTCAAGTACCTTTTAAAATACAAATATTCAGTCTTTATACGTACCTGTTTTTCCAAAGAATGAACTTTGGAAAACAATGAACTATAACAATTCAAAATGTTGTTATCAAGAAATATAGGCAGCACTACCGAAAGAAGTAGATAAGCCAAGATCCGGACTGTCGCAGTCTCTGTGAATGAGCAGCATGGTCATCACGTTTCTCTCTGAAAGTTAGGTGAAGAGAAAGGGTCTGGTGCAGGGCTGGGGAACCTGCAGCCTTGGGGCCACATGTAGCCTGCTCCCTTGAGTGCAACCTTTTGATTGAACCCAAATTTATAGAGCAAATCCTTTTAAGAAGTGGATGTGCTCTATGAAGTTTGGATTGCTTGAGGGACCGCACTTGGGGATCTGGAGGGCTACATGGGCCTTGAGGCTGCAGGCTCCCCATCAAATGGCAGAAAACAGAAGGCCAGGGCCTAGTAGGAGAGACTTCTTGGGGACTGAGTTTGGAAAGGAATTAGTGTGTGGCTCTCAACCCTGGCTGCACATTGGAATCCAGGGCAGTGCCAGCCAGCCGGGACAAGTGTTAATACTAGCACATGTCCCCAGGTGGGTCCATGGTAAGAACCACTGCCATGTATAGATTTAGGTTAGAGCAGTCCTCTCACCACCAGCCATATGTTAGACTCAACTCGTCATCTTTAAAATCTACTGTTAAGCTGGGCCAGAACCAAGAGATTCTGACTTCATTGGTCTAAGCCTGGCTTGAAGGTTTTTAAAAGGTTCCTAAGTGATTTTCATGTGTAGACAAATATGAAAACCACTGGGTCATATGTTCTCAACTGTATAAGTCCTTGGACTGGCTGGGACCCTGGCTCCCCAGAGAGTGTGTGCCAGCCCATACATGTTTGCACACTTTTCCAGGGTTACTGGTTATTTGTATTTTAAAAAGTTCATAGCAATCTTCAGATTCTAAGCTTTCCATGAGCCCTGGGCATACTGAGAAATTCCACTTTTGGCTGCTCTCCAAAGTTCTCCTCTTCCCCCCTCTCCTTACTCATCAGAACGCTCCTTCCAGCCCCTTTCCTTCAGTTGTGGTTTTTTATGCCTTAGAACTGTAAGTAATGGTGTTCTACCAGGCACAGAACTCATAGCTTACAGCAGAAGTTGCACTCAGCCATTTGTAAGTCAGGTGTTTGAAATGTAGAAATGTTTCCCCAGAGAAACGTGATTATAAATGAGAGTTTATTTGTAGTGAAATCTAAGAGGTAATAGAATTATTGCAAGTATATAATATTTCAGGTTTGTGAGCTATGCTAGGAAGGAACTCTAGCTCAATTCCCAGCACACAGTAGGTGCTCAGTAAAGTTTTCTGGTTGAATGGGAGATTGGGGAAATGTGGATGGTGTGTGGCTGACTCCTAGGAAGGGGGAGGAATGGAGACTCCTAGGAATGCTGACTCCTAGGAATGGAGAGGGCAGGAACAAGATGGGGATCAAGAGGCCAACAGAGGGCTGCGGAGGAAATGCCCCACCACTGCTGAGTCTGTGCTCAGGAGCGCCATTCCTGCAGCTGGCTCTGGAGGAAACTCCTCTGCCCACACCCGGCCACTTCAGACCAGAGACTGCAGAGTTTGCCTTGTGCCTGCACCCTGGAAGAGGGGAGACACTGCTCCAGCCACACCACAGTACCTCTGCCCACTTGGCACTGCTTATGGGGCTGGGCCGCCTAAGTACCACCCTCATGCTGTTAGCTGTCATTTTCATTCTGTTGTTACAATATGACCTGTGGCCCACAGGTAGCACCATCTGGCTGGAAGCGGGTACTCCGCCCACTGACACATCCCAGGTGAGTTTCTCTTGACTCTGCTTGGGCACCAGCTAGTGACACTGTGAGTACTGGGGGCTCTATGAGTTTCACTCCCAGGGTGGCTCTGCACCAGCCTCGCCCTGCCCACCTCAGGGCTGGTCAATACAGAGCCTGTCCCTGTGCCAGAGCTCAGCCTCGGTGAGGATGATGCAAGGATGATCCTGCCCTGCCCTTCCCGGCCCCTACGTTTTGGGCCTCAGCTCCCGAAATCCCCAACTGCCCCACCCACCACTGTTCTTGGGAATGAAGGTCCAAGGCAATTTTGATGTGTTTTAAAAATAAGAATATAAACATATTGTAGAAAAATTGGGAAATGTAAAATACAGAAAAGAATAAAATTTACTCTCAATCCCTTCCTCAAAATGAGATTAACATCTTTGTTTCTGTCTCGACCTTTTTCCTATGATTTTATACATGTGCACACATGTATAACACACATACTACATGTCTGTGTACATACATGTATTTGTCCTTTTATCAAACTTGGATCTTTTTTTTTTTATTGAATGGTAACTATGTACATTAATGTACTTCTGGGGTACAGTGTGGGGTTTTCACATGCAATCCGAAATACTTCCATCAAACTGGTCAACACAGCCTTCATGTCATTTTCTCAGTTACTGTTTTAAAATGTTCACATTCTACTCTTAGAAAGATTCACTTGTACCCCTGTAAGATAAACCTCAGAAGTGATCCCTCCAAACCCCCTCCCTCCACCCATTCCCCCCTCCCTTCTCCCTCAAACTTGGATCTTAATGTGCTTCCTTATTCTTTTAATCATTTTCCCCATTTACTCAGCATTCTTCAATGGTATGGTTTTTAATAATCATTCAAGAGTCAATCTCATGTGTGTTACTATTTGTTTAGCAAATTCAAGAACAACCAATACGTTGTGTCCAAAGGATAGCATCTTGCTGATTTATTCATTTTGTGCCTTCTTTTCCCCAGCTTGGATGGCTGTCTGGATGTTCTAGGGGTGGCTGGAATGACAGGCACTTTAAACTTTCATTCCTCCATCTAGTTATAAGCAGAGGAGGCAGCCTCTTCCCGTTCCACCTGTGTGTATCTTTTCCTGCCCCATCCAGCTGCTGTGCCCCATCCCTACCTTCCAGCTTGGCCTCCAGGCCCAACCCCAGGGCAGAAAGGCCCAGGAAAGCTGAGAGAGGCAGCAGCAGAACTGGAGCTGCCAGGGGAGCTCCAACAGCATGCAGGGACTTAAGACCTAGGAGTTCCTGGAGCTCAGTTTTTGTTTCTCGTGGTCCACAGGTAGGGCAGCAGTGGGCAGCCTGTGCCCTCCCTGCTTACCTCCCGTCACAGTTTTCCTTCCTCTGCAGATATCGGAGGACACCCTCCAAGCTCTAGTGCTGCCTCCTGCTCCTCCTAGCCCCAGACGGATCTTCCTGGATGCCAGCATGAAGGACAGCTACTGCCCCCTGGTGCCGCACACCATGTACTGCCTGCCCCTGTGGCCGGGCATCAACATGGTGCTCCTGACCCGGGTACTAGAGCCTGCTTCCTGCCCCTGCATGCTCAGCCCAGAACAGCTCCTTGGGATGGTCCCACCCACTACCCTCTGCCTATTTCCCTCAGAGCCCCAGCACGCCCCTGGCGCTGACCCTGTACCAGCTACTAGACGGTTTCTCCCTGCTGGAGAAGAAGCTAAAGGAGGGCCCAGAGGCTGGGGGCACCCTAAGGTCCCTGCCTCTCCTAGGAGACCTACGCCAGAGGATGGACAAGTTTGTCAAGAATCGCAGTGGACAGGAGATTCAGGTGAGACCCAGAGCCTGGCCTAGTTGGTCTGGGAGGGGGAAAGGTGGGCAAGGAGCTGACAAGTCTGGGCCCCTGCACCTGCCCTACCATGGGTTTATGATTCTTGTTCTCCCTAGTGTGAAATGATAACAAAAGCACAGCAGCTCTTTAAGTTTTCAGAAACTTTTCGTGTATTTGGTGGAGCAAGAATTATAATTTCCATGTTTTAGGTGGGGAAACTGGTAATAAGCTGTAACTCAGCTCATGAACGGTAGAGCCAGAGCCCAGCTTAGTGATTTGGTATAGGCCAGTGATCTGCCCATCGTGGGGCATCCCCTGCAGTGTGGCCAGGACATCTGGGCACCAGGGGCCACATGGAGAAGTGCAGGACAGCCCCAGCCCATCCCCAGGGAGCTGAGACTGAGAGATGTGGCACAGTGTGTAAGCCTTAGGAGCAGCATGTCCCAACACAGTCCACACAAGGCTTAGACAGAGCTTCACAGCGTGTCCCAACAGTCGACATGGGGCCTAGATGGAGCTTCACAGCATGTCCCGACACAGTTCACACAGGGCTTAGACTGAGCTTCACAGCGTGTCCCAACACAGTCCACACAGGGCTTAGACGGAGCTTCACAGCATGTCCTGACAGTCGACACCGGGGTCTAGACGGAGCTTCACAGCGTGTCTTGACATAGTCCACACAGGGTCTATACAGAGCTTCACAGCTAGTCCTGACAGAGTCCACACAGGGCCTAGATGGATCTTCACAGCATGTCCCAACACAGTCTACATGGGTCTTAGTCTGAGTCCACATGGGTCCTAGATGGATCTTCACAACATGTCCTAACACAGTCCACATGGGTCTTAGAGCTTCTAGGGAGGCAGGAACCACTGGGCTGAGGCTGTACACGCAGCAGGCTGTGGATGGGTCTGTGTGAGGAGCTGTGTTATCTGAAGATAGCAAGATTGGAGGAGGCAAAGCAGTGACAGAGGCCCCGGACCACCCATCTTAGTGGAGTCAGAAGGCAGTGCAGCATTCGGCAGGGCCTCCAGTCACCAGACAAGCCTCCCTGTAAGAATGCCAGTGCCAAGTTCATGTCCTCTATGGAGAGCAGCCCATGCCCTCCCCAGGCCACTGCAGTGGCCATTCTGCACGCAGAGCAGCCCCTGTCCTACAGGAGCACAGAGGACAATGCATGGAGCAGACCTGCAATCTGTCGTCCTTACAGAGTACCTGGCTGGAATTTAAGACCAAGGCCTTCTCTAAAAGTGAGCCAGGATCCTCCTGGGAGTAAGTGGTGGGCCCTGAGGATAAAGGGTGAGTCGTGAGGGTGTGGTGGGGGCTATTTCCAAAGAGACCACAAGTCCCCCAGGCCAAGAGGGAGAGAAAGCTCAGGAAGGAGCTTCTGAATAAAAGGAACGTTCTGAGGACACTGAGAGGCCAGCCCATGATGGGGTGGGAAGGTGTCAGGAACTGGAGAGTGAGGATTCCCCCTGGGGCAGCCCTCAGCCCGGCCCCGCTACAGCACTGATTAGTGCCACCTTGAGCAAGTCACTGACCTTCATTTATCAGCAAAATAATTTCAAGCATGAAGATTTCATCCCACATACATGAGCACCGTAAGGGGAGGTGGGAGGCTGCTTTCAGGCAGCATGATCAGCTGTGGCCCACACAGGGTGAGGGGCTCCCTTAGGCCTGCATGTCTGTTCTGGGTGCAGGCATGGGGTGCCCCAAACGGGGCAAGGGGAGTCCTTGGGGTCCCTTCTGCTGTGATGCCCTCATCTCCTGGTACCCAGGCTGCTCCAGGCATGTGGGAAGGTGAAGCGGCAGCTGTGCGCCATCTACCGTCTGAGCTTCCTGACCATGGCCCCAGGCCGGGGAGGCCCATACCTGCCCCAGCACCTGCAGGACCAAGCCCAGAAGCTCATGCAGTGAGTGCATTGGGGGCCCCTGGATCTCCCAAGTGAGCAGGAATGTGGGCAAACACCTCCCAGCAGCTGCTTCCTTCTGTAGGGAGAAGCTACTGGACTGGAAGGACTTCCTGTTGGTGAAGAGTAGGCGGAACGTCACCATGGTGTCATATCCTGGTGTCCAAGCCCTGCCCTGTAAGCCTCTGGGGTCCACTGTGCCCTCCCCTGCTCACTGGGAGGACTGTGGGCCCTGGGGAGGAAAGATGAATATTCCACCACCTCAGCTGCTTTTCTCTTGTGGAGAGTAGGTGTCCATAAGAAGTTAGTATGCCTGTGTCTCGTCCATGGGAACACTTCACGCTGGTTTAGAAATTCTTGCTGACCCAAAGTTAATTCACAAAAGCCTTAAAGATCCTGGATGTCAGCATTGCCATCTGGCAGAAAGATAATGGGTATCTCGCAAGGGGCAGGGAGGGGCTGGGGCTCCTGTTGTCTGCTTGGTTCGAGGGGGCCATGTTCTCAGATCATCGCAGTGCCTGGCAGTGTGGAAAGGCTCTGAGAAGGCCTGCAGTAAATGTTTTTCTCTGTTTCAAAAACCATCTCTAAGATTCATTTGACTCTTTTAATTATGGAACATTAGTTTTATTGAATACTGATTTTCCTTGGAACTTTATATAGAGAGGATTTTCTTGTATTAAAATACCTAAAGTGTCGGCCTCCCTCCCTTGAATCTTTGATCTTCCTTAGGCAGGTAAAAGGCATGCCAGGGGGGCCTCTTTAGCCACCTGCCCTTCCCTGGGTATCTGTTCCCCTCAAATGGGAGTCTTCCATTCTCCCTAGGTCAAGTGTAGACATTAACAGATGATAGCAAGTTGGGTAGGCTGGGCGCTCAATGGGGCTCGCTCATCAGCATGGGCTCTGCTCATACTGCAGCCTCACAGTGGGTCTGACTCAAGCTCTTTCCTCATGAAAACGATCAGCTGTGAAGATACCATGTTCCTGCGGGACCAGAACTGTCCATGTTAAATGTGCAGATGTCAAAAGTCTTAGAACTTCCCAAAGCTGGGGCATTGGGAGGTAGCCAGAGACCTGGGGCTGTGGGCATACCAAGGGCTTGCCCGAAGTGGGAGCCAGGGAGGAAAGACAGACGCAGCCCTCCCCACACCAGTGCTGGGCAGAGCTGGAAGCTGGGTTCTGGCTTTTAAGCACCTTAACTCAGACCTCACCTACCTGGAAGACTTCCCAGGCTTGGTGCACTTCATCTACGTAGACCGCACAACTGGGCAGATGGTGGCTCCGTCCCTTAGCAGCAGTGAAAAGACTTCATCAGAGTTGGGCAAGGGGCCCCTGGCTGCCTTCATCAAAACCAAGGTAAACATTTCCTGGCCCTGGGCACTCCTCACCACCCACTGAATGGGGTGTGCTGAGATCTGCTCCTCAGTCCCCTGGGCTCCGGGGAGTCTCTGACGGCCCTGCCACACCTCCCAGACTCCGTCAGCATCTGGTGCCAGGCTCCTCAGGAGCAGCAGCTCGTCTTGAGGGTCCTAGGACCCTGAGCTAGGTGGTCAACCCCTCCAGCGGTGCCCCATGTGCCTGGGCAGCCGGTCAGAGGAGGAAATGGCTGTGCCGGCGTAAATACTAATAAATGTTCAACTAGTATTTATTAAGTTGGAAAGAGCTGCAAGGTAAATCAGGCATCAAAATTTAAAACTAGGTGGTTTCTACTAAGGAAACATTCTCTGGAAGTTCTTTTATTTCCCTGACTTAGCTGATTCTTCATAGCAAGCGTTTACTTTTGGTGAAGGAAGAGGGAGGGCCTCTGTCAATTTCTAATATACATGGTGTTTTTGGTCCAGATATAATATATCTGAATGTTTAAAACAAGATGGTGATGGAAGCGCATGCTGGAAGCCCAGCCCCACCTCCTATTAGCCATGTGGCCTTGGGTGTTAGTCAAAACTTCAGTTTCCTCATCTATAAAAGGAGACAGTGATACTATTTACATCATGGGATTATTGCAAAGATAACATGATGCATGTAAAATATTTAATGCACTATGTGACACAAAATATAGATACTGCAATTCATTGAGCATTTACTGGTCCATCATCATCATCATCTTCTGCATCCTTATTTCCTGGTAGGTTTTCCTGGTACATTTCTTTTCGTTGTTTCTCTGTGCAGTCCGTTGCAGTTGAGATCACCGTGTGCAGTTGTGTTTACCACATTTTCACTTCACATTATATCAGACGCATTTCCTCATGCCATTAATTCTTTATAAACACAATTTTTAGCAACTCCACCATGTGAATCTAGCATAATTTACTTAACCATTTCCCCAACGTTTGAACATTAGGATGCTTCCAGGCTCTCGCTGTTATAAATAATTCCACAGTACACCCCTTTTGTGCATACATCTGTGTTCTCTTCTCTGATTATTTCTGCAATATGGATTCCCAGAAACGGAATTACTATGTCAGATGGGGGGAATGTTTTTAAGGTTATTGATGCATGTTGTCAAATTGCTTTTTAATCCATGTGTTTGCAGATTTAAGTAGATACTAGATTGTGACAGGTTTGGAGTGGATTGAGTATCCCTTCTACCAAGGCTTTAGGTGAGAGTGCTCACCAGGGCTCTTCCCAGCCCTGGGAGGTGGGGAGCCGACCATCCCCGCTGCCTGCCTTCTCAAGCAGCGTTGATGACGGTCCCTGCATTTGGCAGAACACCCCTGAAAAGAGCTCAAGCATGTGACCCCATGGGTCCTGTGTTTTCATCTGACCTTTGATGAGCCTGGGTTTGGACTTTACCCCAGAGCAGAGGCCATGCCTGGCTCGGGTGCTCTGCACAGTTGAACACACTTCCCCAGCACCTTCCTAACTTGGGCCTATGCCATTGGTACCCTGCCCTGCAGGGCACTGAGAGACCCTAGACAGAGGAGGGCCAGACCTCATCACCTACTGTGTTAATTAACAACATCCCTGGCTATTTTCTGAACTGAACGATCAGTTTTCTGACTTATGGCATATGTGTATAGTAGTAAAGTTATACAAAGTGGTTTTATGTATATCTTGTCCTCACCGTGACTGGAGGGATGATCCATCCTTCCAGTATTGATAGGATGCAGTGATATGATATGTTACTGAGCCTTCTGCTCCATCCCAAAGCAGTGCCCTGGGCCCTGGCAGGGCAGTGAGGGGAGGGAGGGGAAGGAGTGCTCCTGCCCTCCGAGAGCTCTCAGCCCATGCTTTGCCTCCTCCCAGGGGTGGGATGGCACTCAGGCCAGCTGTTCTCTCCTGTCTGCAGGTGTGGTCCCTGATCCGGCTGGCACGCAGGTACCTGCAGAAGGGCTATACCACGCTGTTGTTCCAAGAGGGTGACTTCTATTGCTCCTACTTCCTGTGGTTCGAGAATGACATGGTGGGTGTGGCCAGGTCCCTGGGACAGGAACGTCTGGAAACACTTTCCATCCCTGTAACCCCTGGATTCCTTTCTTCTGAATCGTGTTCAGTCTGTCTCCCTCCTTCCCTTCTTGCCCATGGTAGAACGGCAGGTAAGCACTGCGGTTGGGGCCCAGGAGTCAGAGGTCACATCTTTTCCAGGGGCATTTATCTTTGCTTTGTAATCCTTCCCTCCGGCTGTCAAACTCTCGCCATTGTTCACCCAGTGTCCAAGCACGCATGTGAGCACATAGATGCCTGCCTTCCTGCACATTGCACATTGCACACATCAGCCAAGTGTCATTTCCAGATGCACAGGGTGACATTGACAGTGTGGCTGGGGTCTCTGCCTCGGGGCCCTGGTCTCCTCTAGACCCCCCTGTCACTGCAGCATGAGCACAGGTGATGGGGATTTACTGTCAACCGCCAGCTGCTGGTCACTTCCCTCCTCCTTTCTCTCTCTCTCCTTTCCTCTGCTTTCCTTCTCTTTCTGGTTTTCATCCCACTTGTCACCTTTACTCATTATTCCAGCTCTCTGAGAAGTTCCTTCTGCCCTTCATACTCTGGTCTCCTGGTCCTATTCACCTCTCCCACTCCTGCTCCCTGCCCACTGAGGGTGCCAGCCTGCCTTTCTGTAGTGCAGGGTAGTTATTGGGACCTTTCATGCATGTCTGTCAGCTCTCACAGCCGCGTGCACTTGGAGCAGGAATCATTGACCCTTTTTGTAGATGGAGATACTGATGCTCTAGAGATGACACACTATGGCCAGGGCCACAGCTCATGAGGAATGAAACCAGGGCCTGAGCTCAGCTCTCATGACCTGCAGGCTCCCATCTTCCCCCTGTGCCCCAGAAGTGTCCAAGTTGTATGTCGATGCCTGATTGTGCCTGGTTCATAGAACTTAATTCCTGTCCCCACCTCTTCTAACAGGAATCCCATTTCTTTCAAAGCAGACCCGTGGGCCTTTTGATAATGCTTTCCTCCTTGAGGGCCCACATGATGCCCGTGTTCCCCCGATGTGCTCACTGTGGGTCCAGACACGCTCACTGATGATAGTGAGAGCTCGTAAATGCCAGGCCCTGCACTGGAGATTTCTGTGTGGTATCTCTAGTTTACAATGAGATTGTTGTTATTCCCATTTCACACGTGACAAAACGGCTAAAAAGGTCCACTTGTTTTCCGAAGCACCTAGCACACACACAGCAGGGCTGAGCAAGCCTCTAACCTGGTGTGTCTTAACTTGAGCTGGGTTCTTCCCCCCACACCCACCAACCTGTCCTCCCTCCCCAGGGGTATAAGCTCCAGATAATCGAGGTGCCTGTCCTCTCTGATGACTCAGTGCCCATCGGCATGCTGGGAGGAGACTACTACAGGTGACCTGGCTTGGGAGGCTGTCAGGGAGGGCCGTGCACCAGATACAGGTGATGAAGGGGGCCCTCCTCCTTCAGGAACGCCCACCCCAATGGAGTGGTGTCCAGTGGGGGAGGCGACAAGTATAGGGCACACTCATGTTCCCCTCATATCCTGCTCACTCAGTTTGGCAGCATGGGGAGATGTGTGCTGAGCCCCACAGCTGGTCAGTGAGGAGGAGGTGGAGATGTCACTGCTGGGAGCGGGGACCTGGTGACGTTTGCCTGTGAGGGGCTGGGAGACGGGTGTGCGGCCTTGCTCCTAAAGCCCGCATTGTTTCCTCCCCAGAAAGCTCCTGCGCTACTACAGCAAGAGCCGCCCAGGCGAGGCGGTCAGGTGCTATGAGCTGCTGGCCCTGCACCTGTCAGTCATCCCCACGGACCTGCTTGTGCAGCAGGCCAGCCAGCTGGCCCGGCGCCTCTGGGAAGCCTCCCGCATCCCGCTGCTCTAGGCCAGGGTGTCTGCCAGGGCACCTCATTCCCTACCCACTTGCCAACATTGCCCATGGCAAGAGCCTCCTCCTGAGGATGGGCAGAGCCCTCAGGCAGCCCAGGCCTCCTGAACTCCACCAAGACCGCCCTCCATGTGGGATTCTGAGCCCCTCAATCCTTCCCTCCGGAGGGAGAGGGAGGCCAAGGGTTCTCAGAACTGCGGTGGCTGTCAGCTTAGAGCTGGCAAGGGCTCCTTTGCCAGAGCTTCTCCCCGCCCCCCTCCCCAGGGCCTATGGCTGTCTGAAGAAATCCCTTTCTGCTGTCATCTGAGTGGGGGAAGCTCACTGGGCAAGCCATTTCCTACCCTAGGTCAAAGGTATTCCTTTCGCTGGTATGAATTCCAGCTCTGCCACCTTCTCTCTGTGGCCCTGGCAAGTTTCTCAGACTCTAACCCTCTTCCTCACATGTAGAGTGGTAACACCTTCCTCTCAGGGTGGGTCTGAGGATCGCTGAACACATGGCAGGTGCTCAATAAATGGTGGTTATTGTTGTCATTCAAACCCAGCGTGCTGTGCTTCTGGGCCCTTGCTAAGTCCTGGCACCTTGATAGCCCTGCCACCCACCCCACCTGGTATCTGCCCTCAGGCTGGAGTTCCTGAGCTCCAGGACCTGGCCCTGAGATCCAGATTTACTTGGTCAGCTGGAGCTCAGGCTTTGATGGTTTTAGAAGCTTTCCAGGCAATCTGCTGTGCCCTGATTGAGAACTGCTGCCTGGTGGGTATAGCCCCTCTCTTCTATCCAAGATGTTTCTACCCCAGAATGGATGCAAGGACAAGAGACCCTCAGAACACTGGGAGTGGGGAGTGTCTGCTCCTCTTGGGCCAAGAGGTCTATGCAGGGCCAGAGAGAAGTGACACAGAAATCAGCATCCACTACAGCAAAGGAACAAACCCACCTTCAGTGTTTTCAGTCGAAATTGAGCTGAAATTCATGCAAGGAAAACTTGTATTCCCCTTGCAGGAAACAGCTGGGGGAGAACAGAGGTGCCGAGGCAGCTGGAACCGCACCTTGGGCTGAAGTCCTTAGAAGGCAACCTCAAGGAGATGTCTCCTGAAAGGACCACACCTGTGTTCCTCCTTAAGATCAGGATTTTATGGATGGAATTAAGAAAAATGTTGCCTGTGGAAAATACAGAAGAGCACAAAGGAAAAAGGCCAAATCTGAAGGCCACCACTGTTCAGGACACCCACTTTTGTCACCTCACATTTTCCCTTAATTTTTAGCAGCTGCATGATTTGATGTGTATAGTTTAACCAATCTCCCTGATTTTTCTATATGATATGGGAGTTACTACAAAAGTTTTGAGATACACGAAAATCAAGAAATATGAAATCCATGCAGACAGAAAGGAACTTGCATGGGTGAATCAGAAAGGACGCTGTCCACTGTGTTTCTTGGAAGTGGAATAATGGACCATTACACAGTCTGCATCAAAACTGTCATAGTGAGCTACGTAAATACCCGTGGGGCAAATGTCCTGAATCAGATTTAGCAGGCAGAGTCCCATGGGGCTTAAACCTTCCAGGCTGTGTGGAGAGTTGAGAGTAGAGGGGTGCTCATCCCTCTTACTCAGAATCATCTTTTCTACATATTGTCCCAATTTTGAGATGCATTTCTAATAGCAGGTTTCTGTAACACTGACAGATGTCAGAGCAGCGCAGAAATCCTTAACTCCAGGGGTGCATTTTTTCCCTGCAAGGAGAAAGGTCTGCTCACTAATGGGCACAGAACAAAGGGGCTCCTAATTCAAGACAGGCCAAAGGGAGGGTAAGAAGGCACTTTAGCTGAAGATATTTACAGAAGTGATCTCGGGTCCTTGAGGACTCTTGGAAAATGGGAAAGGTGCCAAAAGACAGCCGGGAAATGTCCAGGCCTGCAAAACAAAAAGGCAGATCCCAAGAATTCCAGACAGTGAACTTGCCCCTGAGGCCTCCTGAGATTCTGCAGCAACCTATTAAGTGGTTGTGTTTATGCATCTGGGAGAAAACCCCAGCAACCCCACCCCCACCCCCCAGCAAGATAGGGCCGCCTTTGCGGTATTGCTAAAGGGTCTGGTCATGGTGGTGGTGCTCTGAAGGGTTTGGTAGGCGTGGCTCCTGGAGATGTCAGTGGATATAGGGCAGTCACCACTCCTAGGACTGTGTCACTCACCACCCTTCCCAGCCTGGAGGTTGTGGAGTCAAGCAGAGTCTGGCAGGAGAGTCTCTGTTCTGCTTGTTAGGACTTTGCATTCCTTGATGAGAAGTGCTACAGGGGAGGAGGGGGACCTTTGGAGCCTTGTTCTGGCTTTACCCCCTGCTCCCTGCCCTCCTGAGCCTTAGCACCCTTATCTGTAAAATGAAGTCCTGTGCCCAGCACAGCACCTGCCTGGCACACAGGAACCCTAGTGAATTATCAATTTGGTCTTTGCTCTCCCGTGTCCTGGAGGTGGCAACCCCATCCCTCCACTGCCCTGCACAAATCCAGCAGGGAGGAGCTTGGCCCAAGGCTAAGAATTTAGCAGCTGGGCTGCAGCCCCTCCTCTGGCCTCACTTTCTCCTGGCTCCTCCCCCTGCCTGGGAGGGCACAAAAAGCTGACTGTGAGCAAATTCCTGGCCTAGCGCTGCCCAGCCTGGGGCAGAAATGGCTGCCTGTGGCAGAGGTCTCTGCAGGGCAGTGAGCGCCTCTCCCCGCCCTGCTTGGAGACAAGCTCACTGGGAAGCCAGGGGCAACCTGAAGCCCGAGTATGACGCAGTGGTCATAGGAGCAGGTAAAGTGGGCTGAGCCAAGGCTTGGGGTGGGGGCAGCCTGAGCAGATCCTGGAGGGGCCCTTCACTGAGCCCCAGCGCTCTGTCTCCCTGGGCACCACCTGGCCGGGAGCTTGGGCACGAACAGGGGCTGTGATGGGCAGCCTGGAAGGTCTGGGGCTGGCTCTGCTGTTGACTTGGACTTGCTGTGTGGTGTAGCACAAATGTTTGCCCTCTCTGGGCTTCTCATCTAGAATGACAAAGGAGGAATAGATGACCTCAGGGGTTTCCCCTTATGTCCTGCAAAATTACCTAGTTTATGCCAAGTTCTCTGGGCACCATGGTATGTAAGGCTGGAAAGAAAGATCCCTGAGACGACAGACCAGTGAAATCAAGCCACTCCAACCACCCTGAGTTCTGGCCAACACCTCCTCACCACTGAGGTTACCCACCCCCAAAGGGAACCAGAATCCTTTCTAAAAAGCAGTTAGGAAAAAATAGAACTGAGTCCCAGAGATCCCATTGCCTGTTCACAGAAGGTGATATCTAGTCCCCCCCGCCCCGCTGCCCCATTACCTTGCACCTCTGGGTCATTTAGGGGGTCTGTGCAGTGATCTGTGACACTTTGCTGACTCCCAGACTCAGGGTACCAAAGACTAGTGTGTGACAGGGAGAGGCACTGGGGCTCGGGACCAGGTTGCCTTCCCTGGGGGCTTTTCAGGCACGCTCACAAAAGGCCCCAAATGCATCAGTACCAGTGGCAGGTTTGAAGCAGGTGACCCTTGTCAACAACTTCACAGTTGCATCTGTTCTGACATTTCTTCATTTCTGTATGTACTCAGGGCATTCTTAAACTAACTGGTAGATGTTTACAGTCGCCTTCCCAGAGGAAAATATGTGATGTATGTGTGTACAGGTGTGCATACATGTATACACATTTATTATAAATACTGAAAAGATGTGTAGCACAGTTTTACAAACAAAACATACAATACCCTTAATTTAAATTCTGTGCAGTCAAGTGATTCTCACCAAATGCTTTCTTTGTTTTTTGACAAACTCAGCAGCCAGCCAGTACTTGCAATGATGAATGAGGCTAGTTCCAGAAGGAATGTTTTCAGTACTTTAAAAGAGTAGGATGAAGGTAACACAAGTGAAACAGCAAAGACAGATGTCCTAATTTCATTTCTTATTTAATGATGGGAACAACTTTGCTCAGATAGTACTTTTCTAATAGTAGAAGAATATTTATTCCACTTTTGGTGCTATTTAATTGCAATGTAACAGCTAAGGACAAGTTAAATTTAATCTGCATTATTAGCGTTTTCCCATCACTTTCTTCAGCCTAACGATCAACAAAACAATGAATCAAGCCCTGATGTGTACTGTCAGATGGTTACAGTGGTGTAAATACTGCCACCATAGCCTTTCTTGTTCCCAACATGAGGTCACTGAATGTGGGCATTTGGGAGGGACATGCAGTTGTTGTCTGTCACGTCTATCATCTAAATATGTATGTAGAGGCAAATGACTGCAAGAGGATAGATAATAGTCAAATATTGTCAAATAATTAGGAGTGGTAACTTTTGAGTATTACTCTTGTTTTTAATTAATTTGTTCAATTCTAAGTTCATATAATTTAGTTTATAACAATAGCTGCTTGACAACCAGTGCATAAACACTCTGGGCTGCTAGGAACCTTCTCCAGCACCCCGGGACTGGGCTCAGGAAATGAAAGTGCCCCAGGCCTCTTAGCCTCAGGGAGGGCCCCCTACCTCCTCCTGCCCTTGGGCACAGCTTGCCCCTTCTGTCTCCTAGCAGGGAAGCTTGACTCCAGGTCACCAGCTGCCTTGTGACTTGCCCACAAGCCTGAGTCTCAGTGTGAGACCTTGTCCTTGCCATGGTTTGTGTAATTGCTAAACATAACATAAAGCCTAGTTTAAAGGCATTTGGGGCCTGTGTGAGGAACAGAGCGACATCTTCTGAGATGAGGGTTATCTCTGCTTCCCTGAAGCCATACTAGTACTCAGAGCCTCCTTTGACTGAATGAGCATGAGAATGACAGAGGAGCCTGTTAAAATGCAGGTTTCAGGCCTCATACCTGGTGATTAGAGCCACCAGGTGTATAGAGCCACCCTCTATGAATGACTCTGCAGATGGCTATTGCCCAGGACCCCTGCAGGCAGCCTGAGGAGGAGCTGAGTCTGCAGCTTCAGGCCCCTTGCCAGGGTAGCAGTCTGACCAGAAGCCACAGGAAGGCTCTGCCAGGCCTTGGGGCAGGAGTCCTGGGTTGCTGGTCCTCAGCTTTTGTCGTTTGAGGTCTGCACATCTGTGTGCTATGTGCCATAATTAAACTGGACCCAGCTGCTTATGAGACTATTCATTTTCCAAGATTGGTGATTGGTACCAATTAAAAGACAAATAGCTGCCATTTATTGGGGTGACAGCCACTTCACCAGGTCCCTGGTGCCCCCTCTGTTTTATATATAAAGAAGCATAACACTCAGGGCAGCTGAATGACTGCTAGGGCCTAGCCTTGGTGAATGGCAGGAGCCAGGTATCGTGTGAATTTGAGAGGAGGGCTTTTCAAACCTCAGGGTCAATCCACTCATGAGTCCCAACCAGCATATTGTTTTAACTTTCTCACGAACATTTTCAAAAGTGCATAAAAATAGAGTATATCAACCAGCGCATTTTAAGATGAAACATAACCAAATAGACCATCACATGCTTCTCACCTGGTAAGAGTTAACATTACTTCATGAAATTTTATA